TATATATATTTATATTATATTATATTATAATATATATATATATTATATAATATATATAAAATATATTATATAATTATATATATAGAATATATATATATATACACACATACATACATGTGCACATGCACATATGCACGCACACACACAGACAGACGGATCGATAGACAGACAGGCAGAAAGACAGAGAAACAGAGAGAGAGAGAGAGAGAGACAGTCTACACTTGGCACAACGTAGAGTTCCAAGGGCCTTCATCCCGAAAGCGATTTTCTGATACAAGCATTGATCCTGTGACGAATAGCAGCTGAATCATACTGGTTCTTTGCACATCAAACCACAACCCCGAACCAGACCTCTGGTGTGCGGCTCTAGATTTGGGAGGATGCCTCGGCTTTAGGGTTCAGGGCCATAAGCTTTCAGGACAGGGCCTTGGCGGCTTGGGACTTCGGATCCCTGAAGTTCTGAAGGCCTCAACTCCTCGCGCCATCAAGCCGATGACTCCACTCATCAAAGAGCCTTACTCTTGAGCCGCGAGGCCCCGCCACACCTCAACAGGAAAAAGCACAAGGATCCTAAGCCCTAAACCCTTAAACCCTAAACCCTTAAACCCTAAACCCTAAGCCCACGTGGCCGGCACCTCTTGACCATTTCCTCCTGCTGCTTCTTCGCCTGGCGAGGCGGAGAGCCTCCGATCAGACCTACAAAGGGGACTTTCCGAAAATTCGTGGTACCTTATTTTGGGGTCCTTATAATAAGGGTCCTACTATTTAGGGTACTATATTGGGGTCCCCTATTTTCGGAAACCCCCACAAATCAAAGGAAACGACAAGGCCACAGCGTTCCACAGGCGAACTCCCGATGCGTCGGAGCTTCTTCCATCGCTAAAGAACGCGGGAAGCACAATCCACTGGGCACCTTTTTCCTGGAACTCGTGGATGCTTCAGGGTCTTAGAAAACAAGCCGCTTGAAGGACTTTGATTTGAAACAACACCCAAGCAGATACCCTACCCATATATATACACACATATATATATACACACATACATACATACATACATACATACATACATACATACATACATACATATATATATGTATATATATATATGTCAGGCCTCCAACAAATGGGAACTCGAGAGGAGCCTCTAATCCATCTGCCTACATATGCGGGCAGTTGTCCAAAATAGCGTCCCTTTAACTTTTGGGGTCCTTTTTATAAGGGTGCCGTACTATATTGGGGCCCTAAACAGGGACCCTAATTCAGAGAACTACACATGTAATGCGCAACAAACACAGCTGTCTTCAGGAGCAGGACCCAGAAAATGAAGAGTCGTACTCTTTGCCTCATCAGTCCCACCAGCCGCACAGAATTTTACAACAGGAATCACTCTTGTTTTCGTCTTGCGGAACATGTAGCCGTCCCAGAACTTCATCCCACTCCCCCGGCACAGCGCAAATTGTCAGCCCACCCGCTCCGAAGCTTCCTTGGCCAAGGCTGCCTCAGTTTGGGAAATTGGCGGCCCCTAAACCTCAACAGCCGGCTCCATTCGCGGTCTATTCTAGGAGCCTACTAACCGTCTTTAAGTGGCTTAAACAGCTCAGGCCTGCGAATCCCTAAAGCAGGGGGCTCTTTGCGGGACGTGCCGGTGAGGCCTAGCCATGAACGGACTTTAAGAAGTGCCCCATACCTAGGTCTACGTTCCTTTTAGAAGTGGAGGCTTCAAGGAATCAAGAAAGAACACTTCACCAACCCTGCACCAGGGGCTTTTCTCTGGCGTTTGCTGCGCTCATGATCAACGTCTTGCTAGCAGCTGAGACCTTAGCACCTTGCTTGGCAGAACTGCAGCGCAATAACGCTATGATAGCAAACAGGTCAGATGCCCTCCGCGAGCCGCATGCAAGACGATCCAAACTCACACCGGCGAAGTTCAGACAGTGGGCCATGTACAAATACAGCGGAACACTTCGGGTTCTGGAGCGAGGGCCTGGTGATGCTGAGTTCAGGGCATCACTCTTGTTGCGGGTCACAAGACCCTTGTACTTGCCGCCTGCACCAATGGCGGTAGTTTGCTCAAGGACTTGCCGTAGAGTTCAGGATTGAATGTTGTCCTTGTAATTGCCATTCCTTTTCCTTCGAAGTGTGGCATTCGAAGAAATACTAACTGTCTATTTGCAACGACGTCATCAACATCAACCTCCCTCCCCGCCACCGCCAAATTCATGCACGCACAATGCAAGACTAGGAAGCACCGTCACCGTCCCGTTTGGCATCTCCGCAGCATCTGTAGCCGTCCAGCATTTTGAGTCTACATTTACCCCCCCCCCCCTAATTCCGGCAACCACGCTCTTGAACCTGCCACGACACACGAAGCATCCTAGGCATCTGAATCCTCGCATCTGCCGAAACTGCCTGAAGCCCTTGAGCCCTATACAGATCCTGATCATGAGACCCTTAAAGCCCTAAACATCCTAAACTCTGGAGCAGAAGAGTCTGGATGCCCAGCCCTGAACCCTTGGCCCAAAATTAAAACGTCGGATCTTGGTACCTGGACGACGGGGAGGCATGGCGACCTCCGAAGAGGCTGCAATCGTGAAAGTGGGATTTGGTTTTGGAGCGATGTGCTCTCCTTTTGTCTTGGAGGGGTGGGACACTGGTTGCCAAAATTCCCCCTTCCCACCTACAATCTAAACAGCGGATGCGATTTTGTGCATCCTGCGAGAGGAGCGGTTTGGGGTCTGCAAGGGCTTGCATTGAAGATTAGGCTTTCCAGCAAACCGCCTCACCAGCTTCTGGGGTTCAGGGCTCCTTTGTGGGAAAGGAGGCTTCGTCAAGCCTAGCTGACATTGTCACAGTCTGTCACGTCCTGGTCTACGCGATAAAGCTCAAAACCTCAGCCAGTTTGGGTGGAGTCGCCCTAAACCCTAAACCCTAAACCCTAAACCCATCTCTTCAGCCTGCGGGGCGACTCTGACGGCTTTGGGGTCTTCTCTGACCGTGGGGACCACGATCCAGGACCGCCTTTCCCAAACCTCCGAGCTCTAGTTCACAGGCTTTGGATCGTTTTGCCTTTCGGTTTTTTGTTTGCTAGGATACTGAACGTTTCAACTATTCAGTGGTCCTTACACCGTTAGCATGTTGTCACTATTTTCCTTTCGTGGCAGTACCTCTCCGTTACTTGCTGTGCAGCTTGGCGCTTAACACTCCTCTCCGGTCTTGTCAAACCTCTAAACTCCCAAGTCTAAACCAAACACAGCTGGGCCAGTGGCAGATTTCTTGGCTGGTCCCTTGGGGCGCCCCGGCCAAAAAACGCTGTCCTCCCTGCAGCACGAAACCCTCGAAGTCTGCGTAGACTCTAGACTCTGGTGTTTGCGTGGGTTTGGGCTTTCGGTAGTAGGCATATTGCCAACGTTTAACTACGGGAATAAGCTCACTGTTAGGGAATGCGCCTTTACTCCCTTCCCCAACCAGCTAGCTAGCGAATCGCAGACTAGATGATAAACCCGAAGCCCGAATCGAACAGCCTGCTGCTGCAGTTCGTAGCTTGAGCCGAGCAGAAGGCGAGGTGTCTTAGTCTTCTTCCAAGAGACCCCATGTACTAAGTGCCCGGTGCCAAATGGGTCACCGGATGGCTGTGAATGTCATCATGCGCTTGCTTCGTAACCCTGGAGTGTTTGGCCCTTGCGACCTACGATGCAAAGCGCGGGTAAGTTTTTTCTCTCAAGAGGGGCTTCTCCGGCTGAGTATTGTCCGGTGTGAAACAGAAACAGACACGACAACGACGACGACAACAACAACAACGACGACGACGACGACAACGACAACCACAACGACAACGACAGCCACAGCCACAGCCACAGCGACAGCGACAGCCACAGCCACAGCCACAGCCACAGCACCAACACCAACACCACCACCACCA